GAGATCAGCAAGGAGAGACTAAATTAATAATGCGGAAACTATGTAACCCGTTTCTGAGCTGCTGGAAACTGGGACAGATGTTGTTCAACGATCAACGATCCTAAATAGTCATACAGCATGACTGCTCTGAGCGCATCGTTATAACGCTCCGAAGTGTTGTGGCACAGAAAACAATTTACCGTAACACGTTGCTGAGAGTGCTTGTGACTAAACTCAGCGAGACTGGGTGGTCACATGAAAGGAAGTGGCCCTAAGTGAATCATAAAGACGATGAATGCTTTGACCATCGGTCGCCATCTGCTATCCGCCGGTGACATTACTTCAAGAGGGATTGTGGGGCCCAGTTCCAAATTAACATTATCTCAATCTAGCGATCGCTTGAAGAGAGTATATGTCAGTATTTTATCTCTATTGGTGGAATAATATGTGTCTTGGAAGCTCGGGCTGCTCATACTCCCGGAGCTAGATACACTTCATTCGGACCCCTCCGACCCTCGCGCAAAGTCGTACAATTCACACTCTGGAGGTAGGCTGTTGGTTGTTGACATGAGCCTCTGAGATCCGAGCACACCACCGCGCGATGATAAGCGACGCGCTTACCATTCCTTCCATCTCGCTCTTTCTGATGTTTAACGAAAAAAACACACGCGTGGATGGAATTTCTGAGAACGCTTATAGTTCAAGTGCTGCGACGAACGCAGTACGTTTTGATGGTCACTTGCGTTTCTAGAGGATATGGACCGCAATAATTATGGAGATAATATGGTGGGGTGGTATCATGCTAGACGGCGACCGAGACTCAGAGTGGCTTTTGAAGAGTCTCACATGTCTTCATGGTTAAAAAATAAACAATTGGACACTCGTACACGCACAGTTCCCAGCGCTGAAATTAGATGTTAACAGTTCAGTCGACTAGCCGAGGGTGACTTGAGTTTGATAGCTTGCAGTCCATGCTTTCGCAAACTTCTAGGGGTGATGAAACATTCGCAGTAAGTGGCATGAAACAAAATGTTCCATCAACGGGCGAAAGGCTTTGGATACATCATCTCCCCAGGAATTTGAAATTAGGTGCACCTGAAATTCAATTGAAATTCATATTCTTGAGTGTTTTTTTCAGACAAATCGTTGCCGAACCGAACGATTCTGATATTCATGAGGAAGTTTTATTACTAATATTCATAGGTTGACTAGGCGCAGATGCAGTGTGTCCAAGTAACTCGCATTGCTTAGTTAATGTGCAAGATTCCAAAGAAAGTGTGATTGATGCTTCCAAGTTTTTTTTTCCGCTCTTGCAGCGCCTCGCGGCTATCTCTTTTCGCATTCTCATGGCCAAATTACAGGTAAGTTCGTAGAATACGACCATACTTTTGACTTTGATCACTGTGTGGAGCGGCTTTTTCAATGAGAATTACTGAAGAGACTTTTCAGGGAACTGGTACTTTTGCAGACAGGCACCAGTGGACGTTCTCCAGACTATCACTAAACACGTCTAGTGTCATTCCCATGAATTTAGTGAGAGGAAGGGGGGGGGGGGTGAGACTACAAGTAAGATCCCAACGTCAAGAACTGGAAAGTAATCGCTAGCGCAATAGTAGTAGAACGTGAATTCTAAAAAGTCGCTTGTTGGGAGTTATACAGAATACTTTATGTTTGATTCGTTTTGATTTAATACCGGGTACTACATAAAACGGAGTTGTACAATTAGTCCCATCATGTGACAACTACTAGCGGACGCGAAAGACGGGCCAAACGTTAAAGGCAAGCCCGCGGCCTCATTTGCCATCTTTGGATAGTGTATTCGGATCTGCATAAAGAGGACAAGGTCAGAGTAAATTAATAGTGAGAAAAAGCAGAAAAAACATGCGACATAACTCCAGATAGAGCCCCATTTCCGATCGCCAGTTTGTAGTGCAAGCGGTGAAAAAGGGCGCTTGTCGCGAGCGTCCGGAATATGGCGCGTGCCAGAATACAGGTGCGGCGGCTCGTTGGATAAGATTTTCTTTACATTTTTCATTTTTTAGGAAAAGGTATCGTAAAAAGAGTTATGTTTACCTCGTTGTCCGTTTGCGTTTTTGCTTCATGAATCGATTGTTCAAAGTTCATTCAAAATGTTGCAGTTTTCTTCCCACTGTAAATATAGAAACAGGAAACACAGGTGCTAAAAGTATCTGGGGGAGGAAAGCTGTTCTTGACGAGGACTGACTATCTGCTCTTTGCTCCGTCTTCGAATTATTCTCATGTTTAGTTTTTATATTACACAAAATGTTTAGGACATAATATACGAACATGGCTTGAAAAAACTAAATCTTTGAGAGGTTTGCTCACAGTGAATCACAGTAGTAGGAGAAAGAGCAGGTAAGTTGAATGCTGCCAGTGTCGCGTGGGTCCTTCTCCCTCCCAAAAGCGTAAGCGGCATAACCGCGAAACATATCGAACCTATAACTTTGGCAATAACAGAAATTAATCACTGGCGGCGTAACTGGGTGAGAGCTCCCAGGCCGCACATGCTCATCCGCTCCCTCTCGCCGAGGATAGTGTCGCTGTAGGGAAATAGTTTTATTAGAATCTGATCTCGGCGAGGCAGGGGAGCAGGGGAGGCCAGCGTCCGGCGCGTTCTCTGAAACACTGCGGTGCCGTCCTTGACGGGATTATCATTTTCGAACTAATTCGCATGGCCTTTGATTGAGTATGTCGCAGAGATTTTCGCTTTAGGAACTTTTTTTATTTGAATATCGCAAAGAGCTTCAAAGGAATGGTCAATGTCTGACAAATAGTGAATACAGTGTGAACAAATAAGAATAGTAACAAAAGCCATCGAAGATTGGCGTCTAAAGTGAAAGAGAGAATATTTACTTGCCGTTGGTTCATATTGTTCGGAGCAGGCGTATTTCTTCCCGTGCCCCCCTACTCCGTCATAACCTATTTGCGGCAGGAAATCACTTTGTACCGAGCTTCCTATTTCGAAACTAGCTTTCAAAATTAGTGACTATTAATGTAATCAATAATCCTCCCTTCGTCTTTTTCATCTTCTTGAGCCTCCCTTTGCGTTTCCTTCAACTGCTGGACTGGTAGATGCCCCGTGAAATTACCCCTGGACGCTCGCCAGTGAGAGATTGTCCGACATATGAATTATCAATATTCTAGAGATCTAGTTGTCGAATATAAAAGCCGGGACAGTGATGGCCTAACGCCACTAGGTTACTGGTGGAGTAGGGACGGAAGAATTGCCCAGACGGGCTCGCAGTGCATGACTGGCTCCTGAAAATTATGAAACACTCGGCAGATAAATCGTATCAGATCTAACGACAAAATCTAAATAAATAATAACTCGCCGAAGAAATCCATACTATTGTAAGAATGCTAATGCAAATGAACAAAAGGGACGGCGTGGTCGCACACGAAGCTGACGGACTTGCACAGCTAAAACTCACACTTGGCCATTTTTTCGCGGGCCTGTGATGTCAGCGCAGTGTGACAGAACATCAGGTGGGCGGCTTCGTAACCCTCACATAGGTCAGCCGATGAAAGCAAACATGACCGAACGTAATTGAGCCAAAGAAGAAAAATATCGTGGCGTAACTGGGCGAGAGCTCGCCAGCCACACTTGCTCATATCGCTCGATCTTCGTCCGAGATAGTGGTCCCTGGTAGGGATACCGCTCTATTTCGAAATCTGATCTCGGCGAGGAGGAGGCCAGAAGAGCAGCATGGTCGCGGCAGCCTCCTCACATAGGTAGGCAAAGAAAACCGTCTCAGGGCACATGCCAACCCGAAAGCTTCTCCCCTCCTTCCTTTATTCCCCCTCCTTCCGTCTTTTCCTTCCTTCTCTGATCCCTCCCCCTTTGCGTTCCCCCTTCAGTTGCTGGACTGGTAGATGCCCCGTGAAATGACTCCTGGACCCTCGCAGTGAGAGATTGTCTGGTTGACATCTGCCCCGTAACCAAGCAAAACATGTGCCGGAACATAAACTTTGACACAAGATCGAAGACGAAGCAGAGGAACGATGATGGCAGGAGTGGTTTGATATGCCTGAGGCTACGCGTTGTATGTAGTCCGACGTGATTTGTCTGTAATGAAGAAATTAGTAGGCCTAACAATAGCAGCAGCTACTACCACAAAAAATGCAGAAAGATTTAAGGTCGTACCTGACAGTTATGGAAGCGGATGAGGAGATCGCGTGCCCCGTTGCGATGGGCAATCCAGACCCGCAAGTGGTGGAGAGGGTTATGAGGAGGGAGAGGGCATCGAGAAGAAAAGCTAAAGATAATGGAAGGTAAGGAATCGAACTACTGGAAGTGAATACCTTCACTTGTATGACTTCAGATTATGCTTTTTGCTGGGTAAAGAGCTTCCTTCATCGCGACTAGCAAACCGGCAATGGTGTTCGTGCGGGTCGTGTGTGACATTCACCACGATCCGCGAAAACGTATGCTGCCGTGAAGCGTTGGAGGAAGGCAGAGGCAACGAAGCGTTGAAAGGGTTGAGAGAGAAGCTGAAGGAGTGTGGGCAATGCATTGTCCACCACCCTTCATTCTACAAAGTAGCACAAGACCCTGAGGTAACGTTTCAGTTCTTCCGATACATCGCGTAATTTCGTGCGTAATGCAGACGCTTCGCGTGTTACTTGTGAATCTGAGGGTGGAGAGGAAAAAGGAGAAGGATCCAGTTGAAGATGAGAACAGGCTAGTTCCTAGTTGAGAAGCTCAATACGGCTGCAACAACTCCAGTTCAGGTGCTTGAGATATTGTGCCTACCGGGCTTTCGTAGCCTGGTGTTACGGGCACTTAGGATTCAGCAAACGATACGAACTTCCGGCTTGTGTGAGAGGAGCCATTATGAGAGTTTTCCCTTCAAGGAGTGGAGTATACGTAGGGTTCAAGGTAATGTTTACTTGTCCTCCTCATAGGGGCTTACAGCACTTTTGAATGTTATAGGGAAGTACCAACGACTCGGGAAATTTTGAGTGCGACGACTGGAGCCAGTCTGTGCTGTAGATCTCACTGTCATTAGTGTATCATTTGTATTTCTAGTGAAATGTGTATAATTATCTACAATAATACTGTTTTCTCACCGACTCACAGCTCACACTCATATCCGTCCTCCGCATCCATTAGGTCCGCGACCCACTTGGGACGGCCACCTTTTCTCTTCGACTCCAAGGCTATAAGTCGTTCTCTGAGGACCTCCCTCAACACCAAGTCCCTCCATATGTGTTTGGGTTGGGACTTTACGATCAGCGTTGATTCCCTGTTGAGGTACTTACGCTTGATCTTGCGTCTCCTTACCACTACTCTTTCCCCGCTCATCTCGGCTAGCCGCAATGTATTTATATGCATCGTGGCCATCATGGTATAGAGCGGGTATGTTTCGATTGGATAGAATATTTCCTTGCGGCAATATATTCTATCCAATGCATTTTTAGCCTCACAAATGGAGGTGCCTCCATGAGGGCTCGCCTTCACCAGATCTCGCTGGAAAGACTCGGTCAGGACGACTCCTCGGAACTGCTTGTAGGCCTCGCTATTGACACTCATGTCCCCGGGCCGCGGACCTGGCAAGGGAGCATGTGAACACCTTCTGTAAGGGCCGGTCAAGTCGTCCTGTAAAAGGAATATTAGTATTTTAGGATTGTGATAAGTAAGAGCACACACCAATGGCCACCGATGCACGCCGCAAACATGCATGAGGCAGGTATTGAAAATGGCTCTGACGTCAGCCCCCGATTGCGCTCCCTGTTCAATCGCAGTCCATAGGTGCGTTTTCACGTTTTCCGTCCAAGCAGCGATTATACCGCAGTCGTTCTTCTTGGAAGCCTGGAAAGGAAATCGTGACGTAGGTTTTCCCATAGAGCGGCTACGGTTACTTCCTACCTTTCTGAGCTCGTTACCTAACCACTTTACTAAGTGCCATCCGTCATAGTAGTGGCGAATGGCACCAAGCTCAGCCTCCATTTCTCGAAGTGCAGCTCCCAAAGCACGGCTGCGATCAGTCGTGAGCGAGGACACTCGAAGTCCCAATTGACCCACCCAGCGCATAAGACGCTTCACGCCCTCTATCTCCATTCGCGAACTAATGTTCTCTGGAATGTCCTGTTTCGTAACTACAGTGTATGATTTCGAAGTCGTCTCACCCGTCTCAGATCGGTGCAGCACGCCAGTGTGGAGAACTAGCTTAGTTCGTAGGTCCGACAGAACCACTTTCCCGATCATGGCCGTGTATCCCCGGCTATCGTAAGCTCCATCGGCCGCGAGGTGGAGGCCCTCACCCTCCTGCACGGATAAAAAGCTCTCAGATTATAAGAGGGACGCTATAACCGTAGCATAAAACAACTACCTCATAGGCTCTTTTTACCATTCCAATCACGAATCGTTGATGCGCGCAATAAACAGATTCAATGGCCGGCTTTGTCCAGGCGAAAACTCCATAGAAGAAAGTTCGCCCGAACATCGCCAGGCCCATCTGCCGAGCCCACCGCGCCAGCTCCTAAATAACCAACAAGGTCTTTGCAGTCTTTGCTTTGTTCTTGGAGCGTGAAGTATGTACTGACCACGTAGCGCAGACCTGTGGTTATCGCTGATACTGCAGCAACCACATTTCCTTTATATTTCCTCTCTCTCGGGTGGGGCACCAATCGTTCTTGGCTTTCCCATTTTTTCGGCGACCGGTTGCTGCATGATTCACACTCATAGCGAACGACGGCTGCCGTGCCCACCGCTTTTAACTGCTTCCTGCCCACTTCATGTCCGCAATCAGGGCAGAAGCGAAAGAGAGACAGCAGCAAAGTTCCTTGTACGAGGAAGTACCTTTGCAGGTCAGCTGCCTTCGTTTCCCCTAAGGTACTTATCTTTCTTGTGGGGCCACGACCTAACTCTCTGCTATCCGGGACGTACTCAGATCCCTGAAACTTCTTCAACTCTAATAGGTTATTCAAACGTCATGTATAAAACAACTCTCCGCTCACACTAGAAGCCGGATCATCAGCGTCTTCCCACTCCTCGATGTCCACAGTTTCCTGTGAGCTATCTACATTCAGGGGTGGCTCACAAGGAGCTGTGGAATTTCCTAGTTCTTTGTGAGTTCCACCCTCTTCCATCGGCTCCTGAACAGCGCATTTTTGTGAGAGCTGCAAACTGAAAGTGGTTCTTGAACCTCCTGCTGCTCTTGGTAGTGCGGCCAGAACGAAGTGCCATGGTACTTTTTCAACGCGTTATTTAGGTACATCCCGACATCTCTAGCCGTGATGGCGTAGTTGTTCTGAACATCCCAAATTGCTCATCACCTTTACAATTGACGTAGTAATAAATAAGTCCTACGTTACTAATATAGTTGATGGCTTCAACAAGATGTGGGGGGATGTCCATCGTGTTGACGTACGCCGTACTTCCCTGTGCGGAGGGATCCTGGTAATAGGACAACTGTTTCCCCACAATAGCCATTTCGGCAGTCAGATACCGCGCCTGTTCAACGGAATTTCATTACACAAGAGCGATCAAATTTTCACCTCTCAACTTACCGCTTCCACTATATGGCAGTGGCAAATAAGCTTGTTATTAGTAGATATTTTTCCTACCACTCCATCTATCCTACTCTGCTCCACGTACCCCATCAATGAAAGTGAGGCTATCATGATACAGTTCTGCTTCTTCGAAGCAGAGCTGTATTTCAGCAACTTCTCGTCCTTGCGCTCCTCGCAGAAGACACAAAATTTTTTCATTTTTGCGATAGTATCTAAAGAACACGCTACTGTTATTGTGAGTCTAAGAGACCGGAGGAACGAAGAGAAAGGGCGACGATAACTCCTAAGAAAACCCTTCCTATGGCACACTACACGTCATCGATAATGGATTGATGACGTATGGCATGCCACCTATCCTACCTATCCTTGCCACGGTCACGCAGTGGTCACCTAGGTGTGTTTCATGTGTTCTCCACGCAACACTTCAACGAAACTCATTTATTGATGCGTGCAATGAACTCTAATAACAAACAATTATTCAAAGAGATCACTGTCGATGTAGATGAACCTGTCCTTCAGCGTCCTCATCGTGCTCATCGAAACCGCGAATGCTCGCATTCTGACTTCGAGTACGTTTCATCCTTTGAACATGAACAGTTGAGATCTGAACAAATGTATTTAGAAGGTGAAATCCGAGCACTCCATGTTTCACCAACACCATAATGTGCAGTGTACTCTTGAGCGGAGTCTTTGTAATCGACTCGCATACACAAAAGAGGACAAAAAGGACTCAGGACATAGAGACGACATTTACACTCACTCAACTCTGATGAGGAAGAAAGGGAACAGGGAATGCTGTCGAGCCGATGTAAAGTTGAATAGGGTCAGAATCCATCAGGTTCTGCCACTAATCAACCCCCACTGGCAAAGAACAGCGAAAAAAAAACAGGGGAAAGGGGGGGCAAGAAGGGAGGAAATGGGGGAAGCTGCTAAAAAGGGCCATGTGGAAGAATATAAACAAGCAAATAGGACTATCAAAAAACTCACTTTTTTTCCTTGGCTGTACAAAGCGACTTCTCATTTCCTCATTGTCTCTACGTGTTCTCCTTCGAACGTGCTCATGTGCGGCTAAGGCGGTCGTTGTTAGCTTCACCTGAAAAGACAGAGAGTCAGCTCAGAGCGAGCCACCAGAAGCTTAGGAATGTCTTGAAAGGAAATAATAAACCTTGCATCCATGCTGGATATTTCATACGACGCAATGCTCAGCTTGCAAACTGCTCGCACGGACTTTTATGAGTAACCCGTCAAATTTCGCTCAGTTCCCACGAGTTTTTCAAGGAACTTATCAATATTTCTCAAAGCAGAGGGATGGGAGGGTACGTCGAGCAGAGGGATGGAGCGTACACACAGCGTCTGTGAAACGGGGAAACCTACAAGGTCAACAATTGAAACATTTCACAAAAAGACGACCACCTTCCAGGCAGGGGATTCCCATGATCAGGAAGTACTCTAAGCGGCAAACCCTAAAGATGCACTCTCGCACACAGGAAGCATCCAGCCCGTGAACAGTCTTATGGTGCGCTTTTAGAGTAAGTCATGGAGATATCCCACCATTCAGTAATATGAAAATGAGTGAAATCAATTGCTAAAACTCATCGCGGAGCTTGCTAAACCAACAGCCTGCTTGACAATTGCTTTCCACTTTCCTTTAACAGTTTTGGTTTTAAGCATTATCAAGATACCTCTAAAAACACAAAGGACTTAATCATAGGAAGCGATTACAACGTAAAAAGAAAGCTTTCAAAGTTCACATCATCCAAAACAAATACCTGGCCGAAGAGTAGATCCTGAGCTGGCGAGCAGTTGATTTTGTCCGTACGCCCTCCAATAGGATAGGGGATAGAGCTGTAAAACTCAACTTAGGAGCACTCAAGGCATAAGAGCGCGTTCACCTTGCGATGCAATCGCTTTGTCTGCAACGATCGAATTGCGAAGTATGACGCGTTATAAGCAATATACTCGAAGAAAATGAGGAAGCGAAAAGCATCAACGCACCTGTCCGCCGCACTTGTATCCCTACAGCCAGCTAGAGTGATGCCGACAACTGAATCACGATAATTATAAAGAAATCAACAGAAATTGGTGTAGCCCGATAAGTACTGACTGGTTCGTTCTCCAGCATTCTGAGTAACATGTAGGCTTTATGCACAGAGTTGACGCGAGCAGAAATCCTCTAGAAATAACTATTCTAGAAAAATATTCACTCACTTATACACTTCTAGATGATATTTGACTATATCAGCATACTTGAGTGTCTGCTGCGGTACCAGAACGACATACGACCAAATGATCTGTAATAGGTGTGGTTTTATTCGTAGCTCGAGAGGAGATAATTTCGACCGCCCCATCCCTGGGATGTGAAGCGTGTTCTGATTCAATTCACAAGGGTTAAACTACTACAAAATATTAAAAAAACGATCTAATTAGAGCGTAAGAAAACCAACGTTTTCTTGTCGAGAACGACTCCTCCTTCAGAGGTTTCCATTTCCGGACTGGTGGGGCCGTCGGGAAAAGCTATCCTCATCTTGAAGTGAAACTGCAACGAAAAAAGTAAACAATAGCTAAGCAGGTTGATGAGTGAGAATGAGAGAATGCAATATCAAGTATGCTGGCAAAAGCAAGAGCACTCAAACTCGTGACAAAATGCACTGAATCGGTACCTATGGTTTATTTGGCATGTAGTTTATTGATAGAAAGTTTTTATTTTTACAAATCAGAAGATGCACCATTCAAAACGGAAAACATAGTGAATCTTCAAAAAGAAACTAATTATTCTGGGGATCCCGCAAATACCGGCATAACAGCAACAACATGGCAGAATATACATGAAGAATTCCGGTAACAGTTAACAAAATGTAGTCGTAAGCGAAACCGAGATCTTACGATCAACTCACCAACGGCTAATAGCAAATTACGATGCGTTAAATGCAGCCCAATAATTGCAGTGTCTGTGGTCGGATAGGTGAATATATTGAAATTTGTCATGTTGATCCTGAAAAAAAGTTTTTTTACCCATTTCTAAGAACAGTTCACTATTGTTCCAGCATTTTACAAGACACCTCATCAATGGGTAAAGATTTCGCCGCTATCTGACCCAAACGCGGACTTTTTTGATGAATGCCATTGAAAGCAGATTACACAAGTACATTCAGAAGCAAAAATGTGCACAACAATACGCGTAGAAAAGGATATAAAAAAGATCAAAACATACTGGAACCAAACTCACTTTTGTAAAAGTCAAAGAAGCGATGTAGCGATGCATAATAGGTAGGGCGAGGTAGGGAATAAATGTGCAAAATGGCTACATGAGAGAAAAGCGACCACTTTTTTGGACGGCCTCACTGAATCATCACATCTGAAAAAAGGTAACATCAATCCTAATGGTTCATAATGAGTAAACGCGTATAGCCGTTTTTACGTCACATAAAAATTTAGAAAAGTAACATTAGATTACGATACGTGAAACGAAAAGGGAACAAAGAGCACGAACAATTACGTTTTACCCCTTCGCGCACTCAGCTGACCCAATAAAAGCCACGTCCCTACAAATGAATGCGCTTAGATTTTCTTGGTTTTCTCGTCCCGCTACTTCGTTTTTCACTGAAGGGCGGCGCTTGGGAGGCGGAGTCACTGGAAAAAAAGGAGGAACCACTGGACCTATTTAGCCTTATAGCGCCCCTCCCCTTGACTTTTTTGCCGCAAAAACGGTACAGGGTTGTTCGTCTCGGACCGCACTACCCTCCCGACGCCATACGACGCCATATTTTCAACTTCGATACCTGATCGCGGACTGACGGTTCCTTTAAGCGAAAGCGAACGAACCATTCCAACGCCGTACTGTGGAAGACACCATCAAGACCTACCTCAGAGAATGCCGCGTGTGGTTCCAACCACGTTGTGGCTTGGTGGAGATTCATATAGCGAAGTGTGTCGAAAATGATGAATTTCAATTACCTTTTGGATATGAGAACAGCGACTGCGAGGGACGTTAAAGAAGCTGTGGACGTTTACCTAACACACTCCCCATAGACCACATAACTGGATCTCGAAATTGCTACGGAAATATCTGATACGAGATTCAAAAAAATGCCCACGAACTTTCGGGACAACTTAATACATCGGCCTACATAGTTGGACTGAGTGTGAGACTTGTCGGCTGATAACCTGTTATCTTATGAATACACTGCATTATTTCCAACTTCCTGAACATCACAGGACAACAAACTATGCAGGATTCTGATGTTCTCGCACTTGCTGCTTGATTTTTTATATCCTTATCGGGCTTATAGCCCCTCGCATGGATGAATTGCATAACTTCCGCAATGCGACAAATAAATATTAGGTTCTCCGGAAAGTTCTCAGCGTTTTGAGCGTTTCACTTTAAACGATTGAAAACGATCGATGAACAAACTTTAAACGAACTTTCTTAATACTTATCGGATTTAACCGAAATCGTTCAAATCATCACACTTGCCGATGTGAAAACAGTCGATAAATCTCATCGAAAAAAACTGGGTGGTCGAGAATCCACGAAACCCACGAAGGCTTTTTTGCCTAGTGCTGATGATGAATTATTTCCAAGCAACAAAGTTCTACAAATGTTTGAAAAGGTTATAGTCGGTTGGTGAAAGGTCTGGAGAATATGGCGGTTGATAGAACTTCAACCCCAATTCGTTCAATTTATGGATAGTGATTTGTGAAACGTGTGGGCGGCGTTGTCATGCAAAAAGAATCGGACCCTTTCTGTTTACAAGTGCTGGCTGCAGCTGAAGCAATTTTCGGTACTTTCGTAAATTTCTTCACAGTAGGACTCTGCTGTGATAGTCTGGCCTGGTGACAAATAGTTATAACGGATCACACCAGCCGATGACCACCACACTGTGACCATAGCCGATGACACCCACACTGTGACCATAATCTTTTTTCGTGAGGATTCGGCTTTGGAAATTGCATCGGTGGTTCGTCGGCATCCAGTCACTGTCCGAGCGTCTCCTGTTATCATACATGATCACTTTTCATCACAGGTGACAATTCGGTCCAAAACTGGTCGTTTTTGCGCAAATGCAGTGAAGAAGAAACCTCGCAACGTGCCAAGTTCTGCCGGTCACTCAAATTGTGAACACCCACTTGTCGAGTTTTTTCACCTTCCCCTTTTCACCTAATGCATTCCATACCATCGGCAACAGTAGATTTGCCAACGCCTAGCTTTTCCTTAATCTCTCGAACTGTTTGGGATGGGTCATCCTCTACAAACACATTCAACTCCTCATCATGTAGTGCTTTGGATCGACCGCTACGATATACATCTTCAAGGCTCAAATCTCCAAAGCGAAATTTGTCGAGCCATTGTCGCACGGTGCTTTTCTAGCACTACTGGGAACCCACTCCTGGTTAATTTGTTGAGCTGTCTCGATTGCGGATTGACCCAATCTGAAGTTGAAGAAAAATATCGTCCGCAGTTGCTCTTTTGACATGCTTCAAAAAGTCCTCGGAACAGGCACATCATTGGATGGGTATTTAAGTCGAGTCTGTACGACCCCTCCCCCTTTTTTTGGGGTTGGTACGACCCCTCCCCGCCCCCTTTACAACGTCAACGTCCGTGCAGCGAGAAAAACCAACTATCAAAATAAACTTCACCCAGCCCAAATCCGACCCCCCCCCTTCTCCTGGAAGCCAACTACGACCCCCCCCCCTATTGGGGATTCCCCAACAACGATGTGCACTGCTTGGGAGAAAAGTGTTTATCAAGCAACGATGAAACGGCAATTATAGCATCAGATAGCGCTAAAAATTCTCTTCAGGATGTACTACTGAGACGCGAGGGAGAATGAGTTTTTAATCAGCATGAATGTACAAAAAACAGCAACACAAAACACTGAGAACTTTCCGGGCAAACCAACAACCACTTCAGCTCGAAACGAATGACTGAATGGAATGAATTGAAACGCATGTAGTGGCGCTCTTCCTTCTATACACACATCCGCATCCTGGTCACTTCCTTCACCATGCATACCTTGTATCAGACATTTCCATGAGATCAAAGGCCTGAACATTGTGTGACCGGTCGTATTAAAGGAACGGTCCGCGATAGGGAGTGTAGGTGATGTGTAGAAACACTGAAGAAAATTTTGAGCGGTCAGTGAACAGAAAATGCCAAAGGGAACGTTGAAAAAGCATTTATGAGGAATCATGATCACAGTATTTATTAGTGTAGGTAGAGTATTTATCAGAACTCCTGAAGCTTCAAACAGTCCTTTTGTAAAAGACCGGAAGACCGCGCATAGGTGTACGAGTCCTGTTGGCTGATTTTTTGTAACGAATACTAAGAGACAACAAAGTATCCACTTAATGATGCTTGCCCGGTAGCACTGATTTTGCCTGGAAGGCGGACCTTGGGGGCGCAAACTGGAGGCGAGGTCACTAGAAAAAGGGAAGTACCACTGAAGCAACTTCTCGCCTCAAGTTCTCTCCCGTACAACTTTCCGCGGCCAAACTGGAACAGGATTGTCCATAGGTCATCGCGAATTGATCCTTCAAGGACGCAGCTGTCTACGACTCTAGATGGTAGTAGAATGCTTATGAACGACTACCTTATCGTAACTCTACAGCGGGGGCCAAAAAAAGTCACTTTGACCGGTCTGCAAAGTTTTCACAGCCCAGACAGAGGATGTGGAGGTGCAGGAGCTGGATCTCGCCCATCACCTTCATGTACAGAATCTGAAGTCATCTCCAGTAGCAGCCTGACTGGAGAAGACTTTGGAATTCATGTCACCTCCAAATAGCTTCTAGTATAGAGTCACACATGGATAGCTACCTGGAAACCAGTACTGTCGATCTGGATGACCTCCAACATCGAGCAGCACCGACAACGTCGTCACGGTCTGGGACATCATCTTCACCACAGCCGCCAAGGTGCATATTGATGGCATGGACCGTACCTGGAATGAAAAGACCGATATTCTCTTCGTGGACCCCGGGCTGAAGGTGAGCGCTGGCGGTTACATTGAGCGACTCGTGGAGAATATCCCCCTCACATGTCGCCCGTGCCTTCGTGGAAATTTTGTACTGCTACAGCATTGGGTGCCACCACATGGGATCGGAGGGCATTGGAAGAACTCTCGCCTACTCGGAATGGAAGGGCGTTGAGTACCTAAAGGAGATGGAATATCCAAGTAGGTCACCTGACCCGAATCCCCTCAATGACCCGGTTCGGGCGGAGTTCAATAGGGTGGCGGAGAAATCAGCTATCTGCTGATCTCAGGCACCACATCGCTGTCGCGTGCCAGAATCTCTCGATGGCGCTCGTCCAGAAGGTTGTGGCGGAGTGTAATGATAGTATTTAATACGTTCTTCAATATGGTGGTAAAGTGTCAGATCAGAGTTCAATAAAGTGTAACTTATAGCGCCTCGAAAGTCAGTGAAGAAATGTGACTTTTTTGGCCCCCTGTATATAAGTCATTGCAGATGCTAATATTTACGCTATGTTAATTTTACATTTCTTAAACCCCCTTACTGTTTCTCATC